GGCAGACTCTGTTGGGCATTTTACACAGATCTAGCACTACATGTGGCGTTATTTCATTGAGAAATGTCGAGGGCGCAGTATTAAGTCGAGATGCATTCATGTAATAGCCTACGAGCATGTCAATCTCTGCTTGCGCGCCGATTTCGTCTGTTCGTGCACAACTTCTTGTGTGCCCTCAAATATACGCTGCTCAAGTGCAGATTTTCTTGCGCGCTCTTAAATAAACGCGGCTGAAGTGTGATTTAGTGTGTTTATGTAGCGAGTAAGTCTCCAGCATTGATTAGATTTGCTAGGAATATTTATGAATGTCTCTGATAGACTTGCGGAGCGGAGCGCGGCATTAATGCGTCCTGAAGTAAAGTAAAACAGCTGTAAACTCCAGCAAGATAAAGTCATTATATGCAGAGCCACAGACCTTTATCTATAAATAAAGTATAATTATGGAAACTGTGTTCATCTTCACTAAAAGCTACACCGTGTTTGCTGGTCTCAAGCATCTGTCAGTCAGTCAGTCAGCACGTCAACTTAAAGGGTTAAACAGCACGCACAGCACTACTACAGTCACAGAAATGTTTGCGCTGTTATTATTCACTTACCTTTTAATACGTATTCAGTGCAATTTTAACCCGCTATTTAAAAACGATCAAATATTTTGATTAATAAGCTGTAATGTAGCCGTGGCGGGATGAATTTTCGTGTGACGCCCCGCCACAGAAGAATGAATGTAGCAGAAACCATGGGGGTGTAACAATACACTCAGCTCATGATACAATGCGTATCACAATATAATGTTCACGATTCGATATGCATCACGTTATTTAGAATAAAAATTTAAAATGAAACTGAAATGCAAATTTTATAAAAAATGTTTTTTAAATTACCAAGTGAAAATTTTTTATGTATTTCTTTTGTTTCGACTTCTTTCTTTTTAACTGAACCTTCTTTAAGAAAATAAATTAAATAGGCCTGTCTCTGGAAAATAAAACAGTTTAAAAACTTTTTATAAAATATTATTGAAATGACAGAGACAAAATTAAGGAACAATTTAAGTAAAGGTGCAAATTTAAAATTCTATTTAAGTGAATTTAACAGTAAGAGTGTCACACAACCAGCGATCGCTCTCCAGAGATCGCTTGTTCTCACACGAACTTCAGGACTACGCTTCCGCATTTCCCAGGACTACATTTTCATACATGCACTGCTCCCAGACACCCATGCCCACACATCTAGCTTGATTGCACTCACCAGCTGAACCCTGTCAGAGACTGATATCACACCACTTATAAGCCACTCATGAACCCTTCCAGTTTGCCGAGTCTTGTTTGCTGTACCAGTGACATTACAACACGTTTCTCCCTGTTTTGTTTCTCTGTGTGTAAACCCTAGCCTGGTATTCCTTGTTATCCTGTTTTGCTGCCTGCCTTATGACCTATCGCTTGTATATTGACTACGGTTCTGGATTTGCCTGCACATACCTGTTTGTACCTGATTTGACCACTGCTTGCCTGACGCTGAATAAACCTGCATATTGGATCTTACCTCCAGTTGTATCTGTCACTCCCTCCCCCCGGTCGTAACAAAGAGCTTAAGGCTTTTCTTGGTCACTTGCGTTTTTTTGTGTGTGCAAAAAATAAAAAAATCTACATTTCCAAGTAGTCAGCGGTTCTATAAGATAATCCTGAACTCATGTGTGTCTGTCTGAGAGGTTTTTATGGATGGCTGTCTTCATGTTGGGCATGATGAGTGACAGGGTGGCCGTTTTTCCATCACACAGGACAGTCGTAGCCCTTTTCAGCGGTTTAAACAGGTTTACTATTTCTTCGGCGTCGCTGATGTCGGCGCTATCAAGTGTATCATGTTGACGTGCATTATTGTGTACCTCTGTACTAAAAAGAGTTAATGCTTGTCGCAATCATAACTCTAAAATATGCGATATGATTATTTAAATGATGTGCTCGCTTTCGGTTTCATTTCTACTGCTAAGTGCTGTTCATACTTCCCACGCGGCTTTTAAACGATCACTTTGTGCCGCAAACTGAATGTTATTTACAACTTTATTAGCTGTTACTTACAACAACCTTTGCAGGATCTGTTTAGTGAAGTAGATGCGCGCGCCTCTATCATCAAGTAGTCCGCCCTCTGTAGTAGCAGCTCACAGTCAGCTCACGAGTCACGAGTTTCTACGAGTCACATACTGTATTTATAACGGACGAGTCTAAATCAATGACTGTAAAATCGAAATGTTGCCAGACGTCCGATTTTGAGAGGATGGGCCATCATCTATTTCAACTCCACCCATCTTGTTCTGCTAACGTTACCGCTGCTGCTAGATCAAGCAATCTGAACTCAGGTGCGACAGCAGGTGGAACGTAGCTCACGTGCAAACAGCTCAACTAATAAGAGAAAACGGACGTCATATCGTAATAAAATCGTCATAACGCCACGATGCATATTGTGACATTTTTGCATCGCAATAAATCGTACCACGATAAATCGTTACACCCCTATTATTAATATAGGTAAAGCATAATAATGTTATTTTTAGTGTTAATGATAGGCATGGGATGATGACCTGACTCAAGGTTTACCGCGATTTGAAAAAGTCAAGGTTTTAAAACCTCTAAGGGGCCGATCACATCGCACGCGCTTTTGCGTTCTAAAAATGTGAGGCACACCTATGGGATCAAATTCCTGCCTAAAGTCGCAGATAAAAAAATAATGGACGTCAGTCAAAAATGACGTCGCGTGTAAAACGATAATGCGTAAAAGCAGTAACTTAACGCAGAATAACGGTGTGTTCACACCGAAGGTGGTGAGAGCATCAACGGTCGCTCTGGCCGCCCTGGTGACAACGCTGGGCCCTATCATACAAAATGCGCAACGCAATTGTTGTTTGCTAGTTTCAGCTTGGCGCAAAAGCCGTTTTGACGTTTTGCGCAACGCTGTTTAAATAGCAAATGCATTTACGCTCATATGTGCGCCCATAGGCGTTCTGCTCTAAAAAAGGAGGCGTGTTGAGGCGCATTGTTGGCGCGTTGCTATTTTAAGGAACTGAAATACTCTGTTCAATAGACCAGATCAAAACAGGTCTAAGGGCCTACTCACACTATGCCATCCGTACCGTGCCCAGGCCCATTTCCCGGATCGTTTGAGTAGTGTGAGTGCGCTGAATCGCGCTCAAGCACGGTTCACTTGGCTGGCCCTGGCCCAGTTGGAAGAGGTGTGCCTGAGCGCGGATCACTTGGGCTTTGGCGCGGTACGCTTGTGTGTGAGTGCAAAACACGCCAAAGCCCGAAACCGAAAGCGAGACGTGACTTTTAAGGGGCTGTTTTGTATGGATTTATTAATCATTCTTACTGTTCAGTGAACGCAAACTGCAGTAGTTTATCAAAGACGCAAACTCCTCACAGCACGACAGCTGCACCTTCAGCAGACCTCCTCATTCCTGCAGCACGAGGGCTTTATGATCGTTTATGAGCGCCAAAAGTGGCGGATCTGTTCGGCGAAATATCTGACTGCGTGTCCCCGCATCCCTAAGGACTGTTTGGCGAAATATTTGACTGCATGTCACTGCATAACAAACCACTGACACGATATAACTAGAGAAATCTCCACTGTGCTACTGGGTGAGAGCGTATGGCAAGCCGATTTAGCATTTAAACCTTGTTCTGACTATCCATACATATATTTAGAGATATAATTATATTTTGACTAGTCATAATTATAATTCGTCAAAAATCCAATTCAAGATATCTACCACTGTAATTCGACTATTAGTAAATTAATTAGAGATCTTCAAATATATTTGTAAATATCTCTAAATATGATGAAGTAAAGACATCTCCAAATGTATTATGACTAGTAAAAACTCAGAGATATCTCTAATTACAATTGTGACTAGTCAAAACTCATTTAGAGATATCTGCAAATATTTTTCAATGGAAGTCAATGGAGGAATATGACTAGTCATAATATATTTGCAGATATCTCCAATCTGATTTTGTACTAGTACAATTGTAATTGCAGATATCTCTAATTGTCATTCTGACTAGTCGAATTATAATTATGACTAGTCAAAATATAATTAGAGATATCTCTAAATATATTTATGGAGTCAGAACAAAGATTTAAATGCTAAAAAGGCTTGCCATAGAGAGCGCTTCTGAACAGCGCAGCAGCGATGACGTAAGCGTGCCGAGGCCCGATATGGTGTGAGCGCGGGCCGTCGGGGGAGACGGGAGGGGGACAAGCGTGCTTTGGCCCGGTTCAAGGCAACTGTACCTAGTGTGAGTACGGCCTAAAGTCCAGCGCAGAGCGTGTTAGTTGTGCGCCTCGCTTACACACTGCTTAATGCACACAGAATGTAGAGCAATACGCAAATAGCTTTACATATGGCTGCTTTTCGTTTGTAAAACGAATGCTACGGGGCTGTATGACGCTGTTCCTTTTCACGATTATCAGCTGACAGCTTACCTCCATATTAACAGCTTGTTAGCTGTTACCAGTTTGTCCAGTGGCTCGCTGAGTACATCGGTGGACTTGAGACTTAAGACGAGTTGACTACGACAACAGACAAGTCCAGAAAGTGGGCAAAACAAAAACAGTAGCCAAAAAATAAATAAACAAGTAAATAACAGGGTGTGGTAAAATCTAAAAATGGTCAGTCAGTCAGTCGACAGCGACCTCTGGTGGATTTACGCGAGAACTGCAGGCGTGAATGGCACATGCAAGAAAAATTTAAGATCTGAAAAAGCGTACACAGCGGCCTCTGGTGGATTCACGAAAACAAAAACTGCAAGAAACAAACCTCCTGGGAGGTATTTGGCACTCTCCAGATATGTATACTGGGGTACGTGTCAATAATGAGCCTTGGTTGCAGTAATCACAATACTGTGATATTTGTACCCAAGGTTATCACACTGTCAGAATCTTACATTGGCTCATGCCTTGTCTTGGGTGAAGCAGAATGTGTGTGTGTGTGTATATTTGTATTAATACTGATGCTGCTGTTTCTGATCCTGCAGACGATCCTGGTCGGAGACAGCGGTGTGGGGAAAACATCTCTGCTGGTTCAGTTTGATCAGGGAAAGTTCATCCCCGGCTCTTTCTCTGCTACTGTGGGAATCGGCTTTACGGTAATCAGCATGTGTGGATCTGCTGTAGGAGCTGATGGAGGAGATGAAGACGAGAAAAACAATACATTAAAACATATGTGTGTGTGT